AGAGAACTTGACCTTTGACCTGCTTTCACGTTTCTGAGCCCTGGCGAGATACCCTTTCACGCTGCTTTACTTTTACAAGGCCTGAGACCTGCATCCGGTAAAGGCTCTTTTACTCTCGCCGGCCTAGTTTCGAAGTCCTCTGAGAATCATTTACCTATTAAGGATACGAATCCCCCTCTTCACGCTTTCATATGCAGACACAATATGAGGTGCAGAGTCTAATAACTCTTCTCGTGTGAACCAGCGATCTTCACTAGGATCCTGGTATGCAAACCTCACCTTATATTGTCGTTGTGGTCTTCCTCTATGCCCAGTGTGGTAAGTACTTTCTGCAACAATTTTATCCACGTCATACTTCCCATCCATACTTGGAGGTATCGCTGATCGGCGACTTGGAAAGAGCTAATTTGTTACACAAGGTAAGAGCTTGGACGCATGGAACACTGGATATGTACGTAGATGTAAAGGAATCTCAATGACATACGAAGGACCATCCACATCTCCAATTATATCTAAAATTTGCCAAGGTCCTCTGTAGACGGGTAAAAGTTTCTGAGAGATGTTTTCTTCAGGAGCAAACTCTTTAGATTTCACCCAAACCAAATCTCCTACAACAAATTGAGACGGTCGTTGGTGTTTATTTGCCTGTTCAATCATCTGATGTTGTGCTTTGAGTATGTTTTCCCTTACCTTCTCAATGTCTTTCTGATACTAGACTGCAAATTCACTAGTCCCTATAGGAAGCTTATGTACTTGATCCGGGTTCAATCGATCAATGGGTCTGCATGGACGTCATCCCAGATGTAACTCCATAGGAGTCTTACACGTAGATAGGTGTACAGAGTTATTGTAGGCACTAGCAACCTTAGGCAGATGTTCATCCCAGTCAATTTGATCGGGACGAATGTACATGCGTAAAGTCTGTTGCAATATCTTGTTCATCTGCTCAGTCTGGCCATTAGTCTCAGGATGTCTACCTGATGACATAGTCAACTTAGAGCCATATACATTCATCAGTTGCTGCCATTGTTCACTTGTGAACCTGGTATCTCTGTCACTTACAATAGTCAAGGGATGCCCAAAGTCTTTTACCCAATGGTTAAAGAACTCTCGAATTACCAAATCAGTCTTTGCTTCTGAAGGCAAAGCTACAAAAACAACATACTTAGTGAATCTATCCACTATGACCAATACTTGCGTTTTCCCATTTCTGCTTTTCACCTTAGTATCCATGAAATCTATAGAGACAGAGTCTCCAGGACCGGTAGGGATAGGCAATGGCTTAAGTAGCCCAAGGGGTGATTGCGTGGTGCCTTTGTTTCGTTGGCATACCTGACAACCTTGCACATACGCGATACAATCTGCCTTCATTCGAGGCCAGGTGTAGGAACGCAACAAAATTCCATAGGTTTTCTTCCACCCGAAATGACCTTCTGTATCATGGCATTCCCCCAAGATCGTACTCTTGATCTCTTCATTATTTGGTATACAAAGCCTATCATTCACATCAGTTCGTTCGAACAATAGACCCTGAGTAGCTTTATGATCAGGAAACTCTGATGGTTTCTTTTGTACTTGCTTAATCATGGTCCCATAGATAAAATCAGAGGAATACGCCTTCCTAATCTTCTCTTGTAAGGCAGCACCCACATCTAAACAAGTCACAATAGCACCGAAAAAGTCTGATCTACGACGTAGTGCATCAGCAACAACGTTATACTTACCCTTTACTGACTTTAGCTCAAAATCAAACATATCAATCTCCGCAGCCCACCTTGTCAACTTAGGTGTCATTCGAGCTTGCGTTTTGAGCCAGCAAAGCGTTTCATGGTCGGAGTATACCTTAGAATGCCTTCCCAGAAGATAGTGTCGCCAATGATTGAGAGCCTCACGAACAACATACAACTCTCTTTCATATGTTGAGGCGGCCACTTTCTCATTAGGCAACCGGCAAGACATAAACTCCACAGGTCTGTATCCATGCCCATCGTCTTGCTGGAGTACAACACCTATACCATATTGACTAGCGTCGGTCGTGACTACGAAAGGTAATGAAGGGTCTGCCACTTTCGAAACCGGGTAATTGATCAAACACTTCTTTAGACGCTTGAAAGACATCGTGCAGTCTGAATCCCACTTCCAAATTACCTCTTTCTTAAGCAACCTGCGAAGGGGAGCAGTTATTATCGTAAAGTGTCTTACAAACTTGCAATAATAGTTGGCTAACCCAAGGAACGACCGCAACTCAGTCAAGGTGCGGGGGTTCGGCCAATCTCTGATTGCTGCTATTTTGGCATCTTCCGGTTTGACCCCATCTCCATCAATCACATGTCCTAGGTATAGAACCTGACGCTTAGCCCATTCACACTTCTTTGGGTTTAATTTGAGTTTTGAGTTTTGCTTCTCTTTAGCTTATTTAGCACAAGTCGAAGGTGCTCAGCATGCTCTTTTTCATCTTTGCTGAAAATCAAAATATCCTCTTGATAGATAACAACAAATTTGTCAAGCCATTCACAAAAGAGTTCGTTCATCGTTCTTTGGAAAGTGGCAGGGGCATTCGTGAGACCAAAGGGCAAAACTATAAACTCATAATGCCCATACCTTGTCCTGAAGGCAGTCTTATGTTGGTCTTCCGGCTAAACCTCAATCTGATGGTAGCCGGATTTGAAATCAATCTTTGAAAATATTTTGCTACCCTGTACGCGATCCAACAAATCATCTATTCGCGGTAATGGTTCGACATTCTTTATTGTTATATCATTTAATCGCCTATAGTCTATACACATGCGAACGCCGCCATCCTTCTTAGGTACAAAGAGCACAGGCGCACCATAGGGCGAGGAGCTAGGTCTTATCCATCCATTCTTCAATAACTCATCGAGTTGGATTCGCAATTCATCCAATTCCTGGGGTGACATACGATAGATAGGCCCCTTCGGGGGCGCGTTCCCTGGAATGATATCAATGCGGTGTCGGATTGATCTTTCTACCACACCACTTGGGGCTTCAGCCACATCTGCGAACTCTTTCAGGATCCTCTCAATCTCTTGAGACCTGACTTATTCCTTAGTTTCTCCTTCCTTTACGGGGTGCACATATGCAACAAAGACTTGGTCATACAAGTTGTGTTTCTTTACATGGCGAGCGAACGCTGGGGCACTCATGCAACAGTGAGCTAGGCTGCTTTCTTTCCCAGACTCATGATAGAGGCGAATTTTCTTCTTACCTCCTTGCGGACTTGCGAGCCAACATTCATGTTTTCTCAACTTCAGATCCGCATTTGCAGCCTCACCCCAGTCCATTCCTAACAACACATCAAAGGGCAAGTTATCCTCAACCAAGAAGGTCAGAGAGTGGAGAACACGTTCCACCTTCCCCTCTGCCTCTAGCCGAAAGTATACTTGAACCCCCTCAACGTATCGATCCATGACAGTTTCACTGCTATTAGCTAATTTACTTACAATGGGTTCATTTAACTTCTTAACTTTAAGCCCAAGATGCAATTTTTGCAAACCTTTCTTACTAATATAACTGCGTGTAGACCCGCTATCTATCATACCTCCTACTCTTACTCGATTTATTTCCAGATCTGCAATTATTAGTTGTCCTTTCCTTTTTCGCATTTTCGTCCAGGCTTGGCGACGAGCGACCAACTCATCACCCACGCCAGCGAGGGATCCATCTAGAGAGAGGCATACGTTTGCCACCTCTGGACAGTGCACTAGATGGGGACTGTCTTCCTCTTCAGTTTCTGCCACTGGAGCCTTCGAATGGGAGGATATTGGTTTTTCAACATTCGAAGCTCCGGTAGAGGCAACTGGCACCTCTACTGGCTGTTCCCTTTTGCCCCCCTATAATCAGGGCAATAGGGGACAATGTGGTCGGGGTTCCCACACTTGAGGCATTGGTCTGCCTTCTTTCTTTCGGCCCAGACTTTTTCTGTTATTCCTAACTCTTTCCAAGGCTCTCCTTCGGGTAGGCCTGGATGTGGTGGGTACGGTTTGTCCCACTTGTTATACCATGTGCCCCTTCCTCTACCCCAGGTGGAGTAAGAACCACGACCACCTTGTGAGGGACCATTTCCCCTTCCTCCCACGTAGTGGCTTCCTTCACCACCACCCCTCTGSGTGCCGAATCCTCGTCCACCACGGCCTCGACCTCTTCCTCGGCCACGTCCTCTTCCTTGACGCCCTCCCCCGCGGGCTACAACAGCCGCGTAACTCCCCTCCTGAGCTACCGGTCTGTTGGGTTCATCGAGACCATAGTCTACCTGATCCCAGGAGATGGTCTCGGCGCCTCCTTCCTCAAAGGTTAGAAGGAGACTGTCCTTCCCAGGTATAGACCCTGAGATAGTGCGGTTTTGCCGTCTTTTACCCGCTTGCAGATCCTTCCAGTAATGGCAATAATTCGCTTCGGCGAGGAAGCCGGCGTGATCTATTGCGATCTTGCCGAACTTCTCATATGTCATCCCCTCTCCTTTGGTGCGGGGATAGAAGTGCTCGTGCAAAACTATTTAAGATTTGGGCCGGTGTCAATCCATGCTCAGGACATTGCAATAATTCATCCATAGTTGCCTTCAATGCAAAGGTACTCTTCCATTTCCTATCAGGAAGGCTAAGGATTAACATCTCAGTGGGTCTTGCTAAATTCTTGTCCTTGAATCTTTCTCTTACGGCTTTGAGGAAATCTTCGATTCGCGTTTGTTGCGAATATTCTACCATGGAGCTGCATCCCGCCTCTTTTTGCAGCGAGATGGCGAAGCTCATGGCATCGCCTCCCATGCATGAAGTTGCCATCAATACCCGGTCCCAGTATGGAATACGTTGTCCGTACACATATGTTTCGATTGCAGCCGCCCAATGCAGAACACTTTCCTCCTTCTTTCCATTATAGGTCCACGACAGTTTAAGTTTTATCTTGTTAACCTGTCCGGTTTCCTGAGGAAGTTTTTCCTTTGGATCCCCCCTTCTTTTCCCTTTCTTCTCATCATCGCCATCGTCATCACCATCTCCTCCGCCGCCTCCAGCGCCCTTTTCTATCTTTTCTATGACCTTCGGGGTGAATGTCTTAGTAACATGTTCATCCAACGCCCGGATGTATGTTTGTACATGCTGATCAACGTCATTGGCTGACTTTTCCAAGAAGTTGTTCCAAACATTTTCGAACTCAACCCGATGCGTTTCTACTCTTTGTAGGGTCTGACGCATCAAGGCCATGTCCTGCCTTGTGTTGAGGACGACCTCCCTGAGGAGAACAAGTTGTTCTTCTGTTGCAGAGGGTTTATCTTTTTGCGCTTCTAAAGCCTTCTGCAATTTTTCCCTCTCCGCCTGCAGTTTCTTATTTTCTTCCACCTCTTGGCGTCTAGCTGCTAACAACCTGCTATTCAATTCGGCCCTCTTTTCTTCCATCATCAGATTGCGTTCGACGGTGTCTGTTACACTTGCCAACTTTGCGATGAACCTATCCCGTTCTTCGTCAGACTCCTTTAAGGGTTCGCTGGAGTAGTAGTACTGTCCAGCCCAATCTAATGGTTCAACAGGAAGCCGGCTGGCTATACTACTCTCCAGTATATCAAGATGACGACGTCTTTGCAAGACTTCTCCTTCTTCCTGTTCTTCTTCTTCTTCTTCTTCTTCTTCTTCTTCTTCTTCTTCTCGTATACTCTTCAACTCTTCTTCCAATTCCTTATCCATCTTCTCTTGCATTTTTCTCTTTGCTTCCTCTTCTTTTTGTTTCTTTTTGGCATCCTTTTCCTTCTTTTTCTCTGCCAGCCTGCGGTCAATCTCTCCTTGCTCCGCAGGTGTGGGCCCAGGCTTTACTGTTCCGGATTTCAATAACATGCAGGATGCACAGACGCGTCCGAATCCCAACGGGAACATTAACCGGAATATTGGGCCCAATAGGACAGAAAGGGCCAACAGGCCCTGGATGGGATAGTCATCCATGATGACGACCGGCACAGGGGACCCTCCGCCGGATCACCACAGTACTATCCCACTTACGGACTCAGTTTTTTATCCGCGGTGAATGTAGTACTGTACTTCTTTTTTTTTTATTGTGGAAGGTGCTGCGTAGAATAAACAACAGATCAACCTAAAACAAGCTTACTGTTTGGATATGTATACTCTTTTTTTTTTTTTTTTTTATGTTGTCTGGCTCCCTGGATCAAACTTTTGGCAATGTGTTTCCGATGTCTTGTTTCCCTTGATATATTTTTTTAATACTAACTGGCTGGTTGTCTGATGCAGGTATGGAGTACAGCGCAGAAGGTCAGATGCAGATGGTTTGCTTATCCAACCAGGCAGAAATACTTCGTTCCGTTTGTCTTTCTTTCAGGCTTAACTGACCCTCGTCATCGTGCTTAGGCTGCTTGGTGCTTGCAATCTGACGTGGCAGATAGCCACTTCCCACATCGATTCTTAGTCCCTGCTGACGATACCCAGCCTGCCTATCGAGAGGGGTAGGAGAGAAGTCTACTCCTACTCRCAGAACACTGGACCACCTAATCTAGTGTGACCAGGCCCTGACACATCGCACTTGGACCATCCAAACTCTAGGACGATCCAGATCCAAACTTCGACTCCAGACCAGCAGCAGTCACCTTCAGAGGGTCAGAGAAAGAGAAGGTAGGGGACACACACATACATGCAGGTTCAGGGAAAGGAGGTGCTTCACTCTTCTTGAAGATACTGCCGGTGATGCTCCACGACGCTCCGCACGATCCAGGTAAGTAACTTTCACCTCTTCTTCTTCGGCCTGCTTCCCCCACCATCCAACACCTCTTCTCTTCCTCCCTCTTCACTTATCCTCCATCACCACATCTTCTCGCCGGCCTTGACTATGCCAGCGCTATGAGTACAACGAGCATCTGCTCCGATACCAAATTTTGCATGGGTCCTGGGGACCATCTCACGCAAGTGTGTACATGTCATGCATCATACTCACACTCAATGATCAGTAGTCTCACACAGTAGACAAAGGTAGATGAGAAGACAACCGAGTTTCACAGCTTATATTATCAAAAATATCATTGCAAAGAGTTCCATAGTTCTCGGAGTCCAGCGCTCATCAACGCAATGCAAGTCCCTTGTCAACTCATCAATACGACTTCCAATACATCAGCGCTACTCCTGCAGATTGTCTCCAAGTCATCAATGTGGTCACTACTCATCAGCGCC